ATCATTGTTCGTCCATGGAGCAACTCCTTGCAGCCGGATTGCTCCGCATCCTTCTTCTCCGGGCGGGCGTAGAGCCCAACCCCGGACCAGAAACGTATTTCTGCTGTGTTTGCCAGAATCGACTTCATCCAAACTCCACTTCGGTTAGGTGCAACTCATGCAACGGATGGAGTCACCTAAGAACCTGCTCTGGTCTTGGGTCTCACCGGGAGTGGACCACAAGCTATGTGGCTCCCTGCTGCTCAAGCCAAACGGCACAATCAGCCTCCACGGCTACCCGCTCGCGCAACGCACCCAACACCCGAAGAGCCTGCACGGCTCCGAGAAGCTCCTCTGGGCAGCAGCAAACCTCCCAACCCTCCCGTCAGGCGATGTCGAGCTCGAAATATTCAACGTTTATATACCCCCTGTCACCTGCTGCCCGGCAGGATATCACCCTGACATAGGTGCGCTACTCAGAGGTGAAAACCGAATGGTAGTAGGTGACTTCAACGCGCACCACGATCTATGGTACTCAAGCCTGGCCAATGATCGTAGGGGAAACCTTTTGGCTGCGCAGATAGACGATTCGACATTCTGCACCATGAACGACGACGCCCCCACCAGGATTATGGGTAGCTGCAGCAGCTCGCTAGACCTAACAATTGCTAGCGCTGGTTTGATCAATAGCATCTCATGGCGACCGATGCTAACACTAGCATCAGACCATCTACCCATAGTCATCTCGATCAATAAGCCCACCGACTTTGCTCCCGCGGATCACCGAACCTATACCAACTTTAACAAAGCTGATTGGGACGGCTTCGCGGAAGTCACCGAGAGCAGCTTCGCCGCCCTTCCCACACCCACAAACATACACACTGGCGAACGCCAGTTCCGCAGGGTAGTCACTGCCGCAGCGGCTCGCTTCATCCCGTCCGGACGCATCGCGGAAATCCGCCCAAATTTCCCGGCCGAAGCAGCTGTACTAGCAAACGAGCGTGACCACCTACGCCAGGTCGACCCCGGGGACCCCCGTCCGAGGGACCTTAATTTGGAGATTCGGCAACTGGTAAATCAGCATAAGCGGAAAAAGTGGGAGGAGCACTTGAAGGCCTGTAACTTCACATCTGGTGTGAGTAAGCTCTGGTCAACCGTGAGGTCCCTGTCCAACCCAACGAAGCGTGATGACAGAGTGGAAATCTCTTTCGAAGGTCGCGCTTCGTCAGACCCGAAAAAATGCGCAGCCTACTTTAGTAGGCAATTTACACTGCACCCTTCGGTAGACAAGGCCAAACGTCGAGTGACCAGGAGGCTGCACAAGCTGCCAAAAAACAGTGCACCACCTGTTTTCACCAGCTGTGAAGTGAAGGGGGCCATCGGGAAGGCTAAAGCCTCCAAAGCCATTGGACCCGACGGAATCTGCATGCTGATGCTAATACATTTAGGGCCTAAGGGAGTAGCTTACCTTACGGAGGTCCTCAACCTGTCCATGGCCACTCTCATCATTCCTGATGTGTGGAAATCAGGGAGAGGGGTCCCACTGCTGAAACCGGGGAAGCCCGCCATCAAAGGAGACTCTTATCGCCCGATAACGCTCCTTTCCCCGGTCGCGAAGACGCTTGAGGCCCTACTACTCCCATACTTCACTTGCCACCTGACCCCAGCTAAGCACCACCACGGATTCCGTAAAGTGCACAGCACAACAACAGCACTTAACGCCATAAACACACAAATAACTCGTGGCCTAAATCGAAACCGCCCCTGTGAGAGAACGGTTCTAGTAGCGCTGGACTTGTCAAAGGCGTTTGACACCGTCTGTCATTCCACGCTACTAGAAGACATCGAGGCCTCCTCACTCCCACAGGGACTGAAGCGATGGTCGGCGAATTATATGAGTGGTCGACAGTCGTCAGTAATCTTCCGAGATCAAACCTCGAAACCAAGAAGGATTAAACAAGGGGTTCCACAAGGTGGTGTTCTCTCCCCCTTACTATTTAACTTCTACATCTCGAAACTTCCTCAACCACCTGAGGGAGTTTCCCTGATCTCATACGCTGACGATTGCTCGATTTTGGCGTCCGGGAATGGAATTGATGACCTCTGCTCAAAAGTAAACGACTATCTCTCCAGCCTTTCTCGCTTCTTCACTGCAAGGAGCCTAACACTCTCCCCAACGAAATCAACGGCGACCCTCTTCACCACCTGGACGAAGGAGGTCAGGCTAGAGTTGGGTATACACGTCGACGGCACACCAATACCGACTGTAAACAACCCAAAAATCTTAGGAGTCACTTTCGATAGCCTGCTTTCCTTCTGCACGCACACAACCGGAATTGTCAACAAAGTACAGAGCCGCAACAAGGTCCTCAAGTCGCTCGCCGGCAGCACTTGGGGCAAAGACAAAGAAACGTTGCTGGCAACATACAAGGCAATTGGCCGGCCGGTTCTAAACTATGCTGCGCCAGTTTGGACGCCGGGGACTAGTTGGACGCAGTGGACGAAGCTACAGACTTGTCAGAACGCCGCACTCCGGACAGCGACTGGGTGCCTTCTGATGACGCCTGAGCACCACCTGCACAGCGAGGCCAAAGTGCTCCCCGTCAGGGAACACAACAAGATGCTCTGTAAGCAATTCCTGGTGGGGTGTCACAGAAGTGAACACCCTAACAGACAGTTGCTTCAGGAGGAGCCTCCGCCCAGGCACGTCAGCCGGCACCTATTCGTGTACAAGGACGCAGTCCAACAGTACATAGACCAACCTTTGGACCCGACGACATACAGACAAGCCATAAACGACATTCATAGAGTCAGTTACCACCTACCTCGACTCTCGACCAATGAATGCCGTAATACGACCCCAATCACCCCCTGTGGAAGAGACGGAGCTTCAACTGCCACGAGAGACCCACGTTACCCTGGCTCAATTACGGTCTGGATACTGTAGCCGCCTTAACAGCTACCTGTCCAGACTCGACCCCAATATCCCCAATGAGTGCCCGGCATGTGGAGAGTCCCCCCACGACACCAACCACCTCTTTACATGCCAGCTCAATCCGACTCAACTAACACCCCTCTCCCTCTGGTCCGAACCCATTGAAACAGCTCGTTTCCTGGGCCTCCCGTTAGTTGAGCTCGACGACAATGATTGAACGTAGACCCGAAAATGGCGGGGCTTAGTAGTGCCGCTACAACAACAACAACAACAACGATCGAGAGAGACTCCCTCTGGTGGTTGAGGGAGCTTTAAAATGTAAAATGTTTTGTTTTAGTCATTCTAAATTTCTACTTTACGCGGACCACCTGAAACTCTTTAGAAAGCTTACCTGCCCGCTTATGCACTTCAATGTGACTTAAATAAGCTAACTGATTAGAGCATTAGAAATAAGCTGTCTCTTAATATTAATAAATGTTTTCATATGACCTTGTCTAATCTCGGAATCGAATACCTTCAAAATACTCAGTCTCATGTGTTGAGCTTAGCACTTTTGTTGAATTCCTGAATCTAGGAGGGCTCTTTGATTCGGGATTTACCTTTGTTAACCACATCAATTACATCATTCCTAAGGCGTATACTAACTTAGCTTTCATGACGCGCTATGCTAGAGATTTTAAAGATCCATATAAGTACTCGAAAATTGCTTTATAATTCCTTAGTGCGGACTAAATTGGAATACGCCTCCATAATTTGGAATCCGATCTATGCGTCTCATTCCCTAAGAATTGAACGAGTGCAGAGGAGTTTCGTTCGGTTTGCTCAGCAATCGCTTCATTTTAATGGCCCCGTTCCGTCTTTCGCTGCTCGGTGTATGCTTATAAACGTTAAGTCTCTTGCTAGTAGAAAGTCCATCCATTCCCTAATGTTCATATATGATGTTATCAGCGGTTCCATCGGTTCTCCGAAACTTTTGGGGCTAATAAGTTTCAACACACATAATAGAACGTTACGGTCTCATCAAAGTTGCTAAATCTAAATATTATGATTTCGCCCCGTTATTAGGGATCTAAATGAATATAATAATACCCCGTTATTAGGGCTCTAAATGAATATAATAATACCCCGTTATTAGGGCTCTAAATGAATATAATAATATCTTTAATAAACCTGATCTTAATTATGCGATGCCCAGATCATTTTTTCATTCTAGGGTCCTATCTCATTATTTTTAATTTTCCTTTTTGTTTTAGTTTCTAATCTGTAATGTTAAGATAATTTTTATATCCTAGTCTGTAATAAACGAATTAAATGAAATCGAGTAATTAGTCAAAAATGTGGCAGAACTAAAATACCATCAGTAAACTTCTCTTAACTGACAGCAACGTACTTTTTTTGTTGCGTTTTATACTAGAAAATAGTAGGTAAAGATTCTTGCACATACTTGTGTTTTTGAAAATTAAAAATTACTAAAATTACTAAAAATTAATTACAAGTTTGAGTTCTGCTCAAATTAAGAATTTTGAAATAAGAATAAGTGAACTTGTTTCACTTTATCAGGCTAGTTTTTACTGCCGAATTTATCTGTTATTGGCCATTAAGCTGATAACCTTTTGATGGACCGCAGTTTAGAAGTATATTTAAGTACAAGTATGTCAGGTATGATTTGTGTTAGCAAAACGCCTTAAGCCGTGTACAAGTTTTATATGTAACACACATATAAAAATTTTCTAACATTCGACATTTCAGACCAAGCTGAAAAGAGGCGTAACTAAAAAATCAGAACCGAAAATATAATTGCTGATGATATAGATTCAACGGAGTTAATACAAAAACATGTATGTATAACAGTAGTTTTTTAGTTAGAGAATATAATCACAAAAAATATATTTGTATTAATTGGTGATAAATGCTACGAATTAATTTATGCAAAAAATCTACCTACCTAATTTTTTTTAGTTGCAGATACATAAAATACTTAATAGTAGAATAGTACATGATATTTGATGTTTTTAAGGACTGAAACTAAAGGCAAGTACATCCAAATGTACATTATATATTGCATTGTAGACATAGGGCCACTTACCTTTTTCCTTTGAAAGCTAATAAATATTTTTTATTAGCTGGAAAATTGTTGGTTTGGACTAGACCAGAAGCCCCCGCACGCAAAGGAAACTGTTTATGAAACAGAGGTATACTAATATCGAAATTCTGACGGACGTGAAATACACTCATGCTTGCTTTTGCGAGTATAGCTTCACCTGGATCAAAACCAAGCGAGTCCTCTGCGTAATCAGGCCATGTTCCGGAGTATAAGTTGAATATAAGGTGATTTCTACCGTTGTTCCAATAAGGCAAACGCGCTAGTCTCGACGGAACATTTCGCACGTAATCATTCGACAAAGAATCTCGATCAAGGGTATCGATTGCTAGCACGAACAAGCAAGCTCGCTCAGGTTGAGATGTATAGTATCTCGATTCTCGAATCGCGGATAATATCTTTTGGTAATTAGCAGATATTGGAGGTGCTGCACCCAAGGAATTCAGAGGCTCCGGTGGATATACATAGACCAAAAATTCTCCGTAACATTTGGTAAAATCAAAACAGCTTTCCATACGACAAGAACGTGATTTTATCAATTTTTGCTTCGGGGTTCCATTATCATCATGTAGATGGTTTGCTGTGACAATTCCATCGATCCCATATGGAATGCGTTCCATTTCGATAGTTTTATAGCTGGGTAACTTTTCAAGGAGTCGAGCTCGAGTAACCAAATCTACGACTTGAAGATTGCGATGGGACCCATCACCAATTTTGAGGCGGTAACCACCAAAATAGCAATATGCAAGAAATGCACATGAAACAAAAACCAAAATATATCGCTTTTTCGCTTGCATATTTGATTGGACGCCTCTTTTCAGCGCTATTGGTACATCCAAATTATTGCACTTGCTTTTTTATTGAAGAAGTCTTTCGATTCCAGCGATCATATATAAATTCGCGTTTTAGGAGTGGTTGCAAATTAGATATATAGATATATTTCACTTTCTTCGAATCGCACACTTGTTTCATTTTGATAAGGATTACTTAATTCGCTAATTCATACATTCACCAACTCTTCAATATTCACGGTTTATTGCACGTTTCGCACCAAACTTCCAGGATAATAAATATTTAACAGGACCTTTCGTTAATGCCAATAGCTAATGAATGCAAGTTTTTTTTCAATTCGTCGCATTTTCATTGCAGTATATACACAACGCTGCCGCCGCCAACCCGAGGCGCGGTGAGTTTATTGGCTTCAGCAAAACTTGAATCCCATAATTTTACATATCGTATTGTTCTCATATATGTACTTGATTATTCTTTTTTAATCCACAAAATTGGTCAATAATACAACAGCTTTTCTCAAAGAATTTTATGTATGAAATATTCGGACCGACCATCCCATTGTTGGAAATTTTGACATTAAAGACGAAACAACACACATAAAAGTCCATTACCTAAACACCAAACGAAGTGTACTTGTCAAAACAAAT